AAAAGGTTGAAGCGGTATTTGGCTGGGAAAAGTTGACATCAGTTAAGGAGATCCGTAGCTTCCTAGGAATGGCAGGTTATTACCGTAGGTTCGTCGAAAGATTCTCTAGTCTAGCGGCTCTCCTAACCCGGCTCACAAACAAGAATGCCAAGTTTGAGTGGAATGAGAACTGTGAAAGAAGTTTTTCAGAATTAAAAGAGCGGCTGACCACTACACCCGTACTGGTTTTACCGAGTGCATCGGGGGGATATACAGTTTATAGTGATGCCTCCTATTTAGGCCTAGGTTGTGTCCTGATGCAGTATGGGAAGGTCATAGCCTATGGGTTCAGACAGTTAAAGAATCATGAGAAGAATTACCCCACCCATGACTTGGAACTTGCCGCAATCATACACACCTTGAAAACCTAGTGCCATTATTGATACGGAAAGACCTTCCAGATCTATACCGATCATAAGAGTCTGAAGCACCAAAATGTATCAAAATATGCGACCCCGGTTTTGGTGGAATGAGATGAAGAGGGACATAGCTGACTTTGTATCTAAATGCTTGGTATGTCAGCAGGTCAAGGCAGAGCATCAACGCTCAGGCGGGTTACTTCAGCCTTTATCGATCCCGGAGTGGAAGTGGGAACATATCGCCATGGACGTTGTAACGGGATTACCCAAGGCACGTTCATGACATGACGGCATCGGGATAATTGTTGACCGGCTTACCAAGTCTTCCCACTTCTTAGCCATCAGGATGATCGATCCCTTGGACAAGTTGGCAAGAATGTATATCCGAGAAATAGTCAGATTGCATGGAGTTCCAGTGACAGTGGTATCCGACAGGGATCCCAGGTTCACTTCTCGGTTTTGGAGTAGCTTTCAGTAGGCCATGGGAACAAAGCTGTCTCTCAGTACTGCATTCCATCCTCAGACGGATGGACAATCAGAAAGGGTAATCCGTACACTTGAGGATATGCTCCGAGCTTGTGTTCTTGACTTTAGGGGCCATTGGGACGACCATCTACCCTTGATAGAATTTGCCTACAACAACAGTTACCAAGCAAGCATTGGCATGGCTCCGTGTGAGGCGTTATATGGGCGCTCATACAGATCACCGATTTGTTGGGAAGAAGTGGGCGACAGAAAATTGTTCGGCCCGGAGTTGGTGGAGGAGACCACGTCTAAAAGAGTTAAAATCAGAAAGAACATTCAAACGGCTTAGAGCAGGCAGAAGAGTTATGCGGACACCCGGAGAAGAGATTTAACGTTTGAACAAGGCGACTGGATGTTCCTTAAGGTCACTTCTTTCAAAGGAATTAGTAGGTTCGGTAGGAGGGGAAAACTGAACCCCTGATTTATTGGACTATATGAAGTCTTAGACAGGATTAGTACTACCGCCTACAGACTAGCACTGCTTCCAGAGCTCTCCAAAGTCCACAATGTGTTACATGTATCCATGCTACGTAAGTACAACCCGTACCCCTCTCTTGTCTTGGCTCATGAACCGCTTCCACTCCAAGATGACTTATCTTATGAGGAAGTACCAGTCGGTATCACGGACCGAAAGAGCAGAATACTCCGCAACCAGAAAATATCATTTGTAAAGGTAGTGTGGCAGAACCACTCGCCAAGGGAGGTTACTTGGAGCTAGAATCAGACTTTAGAGCCCAGTATCCCCATTTGTTCGACCAAGAGTAAGAGACAAATTTGGGGGACCAAATTTCTTTAAGGGGGGGAGAGTTGTAACACCCAAAATTTTCTTTTATTATTTTATTTTTATTATTTTATTTTATTTTATTTTAATTTTTATTGGAATTTTGTTTACTTTTATTCTATTTTAATTTTTAATTTATAAGATTTTAATTTAATTTAATAGAAATAAAAAAAATAATAATAATAAAATGGGGTAAAATTATTTTTTGAATTTAATTGAAATTGATTTTCGAAAAAAGGAGTGAAAATTTGGATTATGAGGGTGTTTTTGAAAAGAAAATCGAAAACTGGGGGTCAAAATGCAATTTAGAAAAATAGCGCCACGTCAGCAGCCGCGTCAGTAACCCGGTCAGCAGCCCCGGCCAACCAGGACACGCCGCGTGGCAGGGACGCTGACGCGGGAAACCACGTGGGACGGAGACACGTGGGCGATTCGCGTGCGCGCAATCGGACGGCCCAGATCCATTCCCGCGCGCACGGATGGCCCAGACAAAGGCACACGTGGATGACCCAGATCTCACGCGTGTGGACAGTTCAGATTTATTTTCAATTTAATCGCGATCGGACGGCCCAGATTAAATCATGATGGACGGCTCAGATTAAAGGGGAGGGTTATAAATAATCGCATCCACACCCAACCCCAAACCCTAGCCGCCAGAACCCTTGCCGGAGAAGACGACCTAGCCACCGGAGGAACCCGCCGCCGCCACCCGCCGCCGCACCGGAGGACTTTCTGGCTGCCAAACGAGGTAAAATTTCTCCCCTTAGCTCGTTTTTCGATGCCGAACCTCCCTGTGCCAAATCGGAGCCAAACCACCAGCCGATTAGCCGGAAAATACCCCGAAGTCCAGCGCCGCCACGAGTTTCCTCGGTTTTTGCCTCCGATGAGGCCCTTCCCGTTTCCCGTTCGATGTAATTTTTATACTACTATGATCACTGTCCTTTTCTCTACTGGTTGACCGGAACAAAACACTGTATCACAACTCGCGTTGGAGGAGCCGCCGCACCCGAGAGCTTCACCGCCTGTGAGTCTCCATTTTATGGAATTTTTTGGCCCACCGAGGGCCCTAGGGATTTTTTATCACAGGAATCAATGCAAGTTTTGCCGAAAACGGCCAACCAGAGGCGGATCGCCGTCGTGGGCGGTGGCGCTCTCGCCGGAGCACTTGTGGAGCCGCCATGCCGAAATTCCGAAATTGGTCGAAAGGGCCCTGGGTCTGATTTGGGATTTTTTGGGGATATGTGCAGGTACCGGAAGTGTGTTACAGTTTCCGGAAAAAAATTTAGGGAATTTAGGGACTGCCCGTAGGCGCAGTGAGAACTCGATTTCAGACTCCGAAACAAGTAAGGATCCCTCACCTTATTTCCTATCACGGCATTAAAGCTTAATAAATGATTAAACGATATTTTATGAATTAATAGATATGTATAATTAATTAAAGATTACCAATGGGGCCCGAACCTGATGTATTTGTCGGTCTGTTCCTGTTTTATGTATTTTACAGTCTAAATGCAGTATAGTATTTGATTGTTCATTTTGTGGTTTCGTATGCATGAATAGCTGTTTAATCCATTATGGTTTGAATTATGGTGGACTCGATGTTGTGTTACCTTATTTGGTGTGCGTTGCTGGTTTATGTATTCACGTAAATTGGGTAATTGAGACTAAGAAAAATAAAAAGGGTATGTGAATTTATAAATGGATAAGTCGACAGTCTCACTAAATATCCTAGAAGATGGTGGACGGAGCGGGTACATAGGGAACCCTATCGGGAACGTGGTCTCTCATATCGAACGGGGTATGGAGACTTTAAATGTTTTGGCGTTCATATCGGACGGGGTATGGGGACGGCCCGCTTCACCCTCATACCGGATAGGGTATTGAGGTTTATGGTTTTGGCGCTCATACCGAACGGGGTATGGGGACGGCCCTAGAATTAAGGTGAATTGTTCACGTGTAGTGGGGACCCCTATGGATCCCCATAGATACTAGTAAGCTGATAAAAGAGGAAATTTGTTGTTTGATGATTGAAACACAAAAGTATAACATGTACTATGATACAGATTATGTATGAATTCATGATATTTATGATATTATTGTTTCTATAGGTCATTTTCATGAATCTCACTGAGGTAAGTAGACAGTAAAATTTTTTATTATTGATAAATGAGTTTGTTATAAATTATGCTCCATTGGTCGTTTTTTTTTTACCAACCTTTACTTCTGTGACAGTGAGATAGTGTGATGTCTTTACTGGGTTAGTATAACTCATTCCTTACTTAACTATTTCAGATAAGGAGGATTTGGTTTCCGAACCCGTTCTGCAGGAAGATGACGAGTAGAAACCAAAGAATTTATTAGTTTTACTTATAGCATTCATTCATAATATTTCTTTTAAATTAGTTTATTCTTTCATACGTTAATTCGTTTTATTTATTGTGGAAGGGATGTTAATCATAATCTATTTTATTTCGATTCCGTACCTAAAATAAATATATACATTTCCTTTTATTCCCGAGGCCGTTACATAATGAGGGCTCAGATTTGTAGCATCTCGCTAGTGTTGACACATTGATGTATGATTTTTCATGTAAACATCTTTACCTTTGATGGAACTAATTCTTTCCAAGATACTTTGACAATGTAGGATTGGCCGGAGGTGTGATGTTAAATGAGATGTTCGAAAAAAGATTTCTAGGTGTACCGCTCCAATGGATCCAAAGAATAATGAGGCTGCCTATTATTGTCGATTAAGTGCATCTACTTCTTTCTTCTGCATGTTTTATAATGTTCTCGTGATTGCATATGGTTTAAAGTCACCTCCAGGGAGATGGTCCCCCCAACCCCTCCCCAAAATTTTGTACTGATGTTTCTATGTTTAGAAAATTATGTTTTTTTCTTTACAATGACTTAAAACATTAGTGGTAGTAGACAAGCTTTTCACATTTGGTTACTTTGATAAGAAGTTACCTCCCCTCTCTCATCTCAAACTTGAACTTCTTATCAAACCTTTAAATAAGTAAAAAATTTTTTTCTTTTTCGTATATTTAAGTCGATATCACTAATCCTTTATCAACTGCAGTCCTTGATAGCTTCACCTGTTTCTTAATAGTAGACTTTTGTTTCCTATTTGGTTTGCTGGCTTCATATATCACTTTCTGTTGTTTTATCCATTACCAAATGATCTTTAGTATATAATGATATCTCTAGCCTTCACTTATGTACTATCACCTAATATTCTAACTGATATCAATAGGTTTCAAGTTACACATTTTCCTTGTTTGGTTTGTTGCCAGGTAATGTTAGGTGTTGACCGGCTCGACATGATTAAGGGAATTCCACAAAAAATTTTGGCTTTTGAAAAATTCCTTGAGGAAAATCCAAATTGGCGTGATAAAGTAGTTCTGCTTCAGATTGCTGTGCCCACAAGGACAGATGTCTGCGAGTGTATGTTCTGTCCTAGAAACATTTTCTTTTCTTTTCTTTTACACCCTACTACCTTATTTTATTTGTCACACAAATGACTGAGCAGTAATTGTTAAGGTGCATTAGTTCATTTTTTCATATGTTTCTTTATGTCTCTAATTCAGTTATCAGTGTCACTCTATCATAATGTGGTTTTATGACTTGTGAGGCTATGGCACTAGATGAGTCCACAAAGTAGATATGGATTCTTAGGTTCATTTTATATATAGAGAATGAAAAAAATTATACTAATTACTAATATGAACTGTCAAATATCTGTCAGATTTTAAAAAGATGTTCACAATTTAAATATTGAAGAACATTCCATTTATGTGTTTTTTCTTCATCATCTTGATATCATAATCTCTAGTTCTAGATCATCAAGTGTCTGCCGTGCACACTAACTGCCTGACCTAGACCATATCCACACCAATGTCAGACAGAGATCCCATACCCACAGCAATATGGTGTAGTGTTTCACATGGGTACGACAATAAAATTAGACTATGAGCAGCATAAGTCTTTGGTACTATGAAGAGTTTTTATAATTTTATGAAGTTTTTTATATTTCAATATGTTGTTAAAAATATAGACTTCAGGATATATTAGCCAGATTTAGTAGTAACTTTAGTTGTTTCTTTTTTATTCATTCTTTTCAGAATGAGGTGGCATGTTGTGCTACAATTTGATTGGTCCAAAGGTGGTGGAAAATTGTCAACTTTGACTCTAAGTGGGCAATTGTGTCACCTCTCATCGGTCCAAGATGGTGGCCAAAGAAGGTGGCAACCATATGTTGCCAGCTTGTGCCGCATCTCATTTAGACAATGGTAAATCTCAAATAACCAATTTGGCTAATTTCCAAGATTGCTATTGGATCTGTTGACATCTTTAATATATAAATATATCTGATGCAAAAGATTATATTATTGTTGAAATAGAGTTTGAAGTAGTTCTTCCTCAAAATTCTAGTTTTTCCTTTCTTTTCTTTTTGAAATAAAAATTGTAAGATGTATATTAAGTAACTGATACCTCCCATTTGCAAAATACTTATAAGTCAATAAGCATATCTACAATAACTTCAAAATTTTTTATCCTATCTAAATTATGTCCCAAAATCACGGAACCAAAATAGTGAAACCACCTATTTTTAATATTAACAATTCGCCTTCAATCATTTCAAACCCCTATTGTTTCTCTCTTCCAAATAATCTAAAAATGGTTAAAGGAATAAGACACACACATCTATTCTTCTTACAAAGCCTCTCCCAAGCCATTAATTCACCTCTCACTGACGTAGCTATACCCTAACTGATACCTATAAGGCCATTGACTCGGCAGGCTATAAGTTATCGGGCAATAAAGAAGGATGTGGTTGCAAGTCTTAGCATTGTTTTTACAGAGAAAGCATTTGTTCGCATGATTTTCTCTCTTTTCATCAGGTTGTCTATAGTCAGTATATGTTTCTTGATCGCCTCCCGAGTAAAGAAGGAAATTCTTGGAGGAGCTGTCACCTTCCAAATCTATTTAGTCGAGAAATTGGTCTCCCCCATCTTTCTGTTGTCAACCATGTGCATATAAAATAACTTAACAGATCAGACATAATTTTTCTTCAAATTAAAAAAAAACTGATCCCCATTGTCATTGAGATGGATGGTAGGCAAAAGTTGTTACAATTCTTCGTATTCGTCCACTCCTCAATCATGTAGATTTCTTGCCACATCAACAACCCAGATAAGAGAGGGAGGAAGGAAGACAGAGAAGCAAAGAATGGAATGATGGAGGAGGTCGCAATCAACCGAGGGAACAGAGTCCTGCATTGCCCACATGGTAAGACAAAGATTATGTCACCATTGAAATGCCTAAAACATATGTGGCGGTGGTGCAGTCAAAGAGAGAGGAGAGAAGGCGGTTAGGGCAGATGGGATCTGAACTTGAGACTGGTCGCATTGAAATTGAAAATCAAATTAAGCCTAAAGTCTGCCTAACTCAAGGGAACCAAAACGCAAGGCAACTGAGTCGTCTTTTGAGAAGTTATTTTAATAAGCCAAACCCGTCCTCAGCCAGCTCGAGAAGACTGTTTGGGTCGCTGAAATACATTTGAGCGGAGAAAGGAAAGTGGACTGACCATATTGGGCCAAGCAACACTAAAAAAGGGCTTGCGGGTTCAGACAGAAACGGTTTTGGAAGAAAAAGAGCTATTTTGGTAGGGTTGTGGATTATTTGCTTAGAGCTGAGTCAATGTTTTTGACAAACTTGGATATGTGGGATCACATGATATTTTTGAGCTCCCTATGAGCTAAGGCTAATGGAAAGTACTCCAGTACTGCACTTTCTATACTAGATAGAAATTGGGAAGCTTGCATTTTTGACCATAGGGGTCTTCTCTTAGTTGACTTGATGTTGTGACCATTGTATTCTTTTGCATTGTGCTTTTTTTCGTTTCCATGGAGGATGTCTTGTTCTCTGTTTGTACTCTCATTCTCTTCTATCTTTCTTTTTCTATTAAAAGCTTATTGTTAGAATATAAATAATAAATAGTGTTAATTTAAGATAATTGTTTTCACAACCAATTTTTTTAACATGATATAAGAGCTTGAGGTTTTGGGTTCAAACATAGGAGCTTCACTCCTTTTCTTGTTCACCCGTTCATTATTCATTGTTGGACTTCTATGCTAAGCTCCTTCGACCTTTAGTGGTTTGTGCATCCATTGCTGTCCGCCTGCATGAGCTCATCATTCTACTTGTACGCCAAAGGAGGCTTGTTTAAATGTAAATAAGAAAATTAGCAAGAGTAGTTGGTCTTCCAATCAAATTATTTACTAAGTGTTGAAGTCTCCATCAATTTTCCCTTGATAGATTTGTTGCCTCTGTGGCTTTATGGTTTCTCTTTCATTATTCTCTCACTCAGTTGCTCAAGATCTACAATGATTCCATCTCATACTAATTTGTTGCTCTCTTTCTATATATATGTGGATGTGTGTTTTTGTTCTGAAGTGTTGCCATAGACATTGCCCTTCTTCATTCCATTATGTGCAAAACATAGTTTTTCATACTTTATTGGTTGAATAATATGTTATATTTTTACTTTGACAGATCAGAAGCTCACAAGCCAAGTTCACGAGATTGTTGGGCGCATTAATGGAAGATTTGGGACCCTATCTGCAGTTCCAATACACCATCTGGTTTGTTGATTTCTTTTACTTTCTGGGGGACAAAAGGGTAGGATAGGCTGTTAACATCAGCATAAATATAGAATTTTCTAGATGTTGGGAAGCCAGTACCAAGAGTAAATGATTTAAAAAGTTTTAGCAGTTGGACCCTTCTTTAAAGATCCTGACCCTGAATTCACCTTAAAGCGGTTGTCACACGCTGACCTCAGCTTTAAAGATTGAGTAGGTTCTCCAGTTCTTTGAGTGGACAAGTACTCATTCATTACCGGTAAAATGCATCACCACCTAGAGTTGAATTTTTTGCCTGGCTTGTTCTCAACTTCTTTACCACTAGGCATCCATTGTTTGTGTTGGCTTCACTTATCATCTCTAACATGGAATTTTATCTTTTTCCTATGCACTGAATCAAATTCAAGAATATGCTAATTTCTTGTCTCCATGGACCTGGCAACTGTAGCATGCTTAAGAATTAATACCAAGTATAAAAAATTAATCGTGATTGGTGGATGCAAGCATAAGGACTTGTAATACAAGTATGAACATATAATGAGGTATTGGATTTGCTATATAAAAATTTTCTACTGTATTAATTTTATTTAAGAACTTATAATATCTAGTTTATTGATTTTTCTCCATAAATCATTTGGTTTTATGGTCAATAATGTGCTTCCATATTCAGCCATTACAAAATATGAGCTTTTGCTTACTCACAAGGTTTGCATCTTTGCACTCGTTCTGGACTAAGGTTTGTTTGACATTCCAGGTCAAAAGTCTCGTAAAAAAATTTTAATTCCACCAAAATGTAAACTGTTGAATGTAAATTAAAAACAGTAATTGGAATATTACACAAAAATGGAATTATTTAATTAGATTTTTGTATCCACTCTGAAAAGCTGAGAACAGTTGGCAGAATTTAACTTAATTCTTGAACAGTTTCTTATTTTGTTTCCTTATATTCTACTTTATATATATATATAAATAGCTAGCTGATGATTTCTAAAGTACTTTGTTATCTGTGTACAGGATCGGTCTCTTGACTTTTATGCATTATGTGCACTCTATGCTGTTACTGGTACTTATTTTGTACCAGAATGATCATCATCATGAATTCTTTACTGTTCCATTTATAAATCTGTTCAGATAGTTAATCGTTCAGAATTATTCTACAAAATAAAATGGATAATTGAAATTGTTGAAAGAAACAGATGGAGGGGAAACTCAACAAATATCTAGCAATTTATTGACTAATTAGTGAATTGTGCATTGGCATCTTGAGGCATCTTTTTCTTTTTGAAATAAACATGTATATGTATTAATATAAGCACCAGAGTGTCATTCATTTACAATATCTACATATCAATTAGCATATCAACAGGTACTGCAAAATCCTCCATGGTATCCAGAGGATGACCCTATAAA